CTGCGCCTGGCCCGAGCCCCCATCTCCCTCCCCAAGGCTCACCGTCCATCCTGGCCCTGCCCCAGGTCAGGCTGGTGCCCTGCCCTCACCAGCACACCCCGGGCGGCGGTCCGTCCTCACTGCCGTGTCCGCGTCAGGCCGTCTCCGCCAGGTCTCCACGCGCCTGGCTGCCCGGGGCCCTTCCTTTCAGAGCCGCACTAACCTTCACCTGTTCTGGGGAAAGTCCGCGGTAGTTGACCGAGACGGTAACATGAAAGAAGAATCCGCATCACTGAGGGGGTGGGCAGGTGGGAGGTCGGGCAAAGAGACTCCTAAACCAAGGGCCTGAGTCTAAGAAATAAAGAGCGGACATCCCCGTGGCCTCGAGACGGCTACAAAAACGCCCTCAGCTTTAAGTGGCCAAAACAAGGAGGCCCCTGACCGGTGGGAGGAGCCAGGGTGCCCCTGAGGTAGGAACGGCCGGCCGTCTCAGAGGAGCGCCCTCCCCGCTGAGGCGCGTGCGAAATGCCCGTGGGCTAGACACAGACAGCCTGCCTGTCAGCTCTTCCTTAACCTGCCCCACAGGTGGACCCACAGCCCCAACCGCCGGGCACAGCACAGTCCGAGCTCGGCCTCTGGCAGGCACTGGGCTGACCGTGGCTGACCCGGCCTCCAGGGTCACAGTCAGACCTGGAGAGAACGGGGCATTGCTCGTGCCCCAGGAAACCACGCATCTGAGTTCTTTTCTAATCCTCACCCGAGGCTGCTTTTTCCATTGATTTTTATTCATTTAAGAGAGAATGGAAGGGAGGGAGGAGGGGAAGAGAGAGAGAGAACTTTCGATGTGAGAGAGACCCGGCGATTGATTGGTTGCCTCCTGCACGCGCCCTGACCAGGGCCCGGGATGGAACCCGAAGCTGAGGCCCTTGCCCTTGATCAGGAATTGAACACGCAACCCTTCTGTCCGCGGGCCAGCACTCCAACCACCGAGCAACCCGCCCAGGGCCCCCTGAGTTCTTACCACGGCTTCACCTGTGCCCCAGGGAGACTTTCAGGGAGGATTGGGGGCGAGGGCCTGCGATGAGCTGCAGGCGGCATCCTGCAGGGTTGGGTGGCTTTGGTCTGACCTGACCTTGCATTTCTCCCCTTAAGGGTCACCTGGGACCCAGGCCACCAGAACCCAAACCCAAAAGGCCAAACGCCAGGGATGAGAAGTGGTCCCCTGGCGGCGGGCGGGTCAGCTGCCCGTCTTCGCTCGAGGCTGCAGCTGCCAGCCGATGCCTCTGCAGCTCAGACGCTTCGGGCGTGGCGCTCAAGGGTCACGTCACCCGCCACCGGAGCTGCCCACATGGGGGCTCCCACCTGGCGGCCCCGGGAGGCGGGATTAACCCTGTGGCCGCCCTGGAGGGCGCGGGTGAATCTAAATGCAGAGCTGCAGGCAGCCGACGACAAGGGTCCCGCAGGACCGGCCGCGCAGCACCCCCTCGGGCTGGGGATCCGCCCCTCGTGCTGCCCCCTCGCACCCGGTTCCTTAGGGGGGTGTCTGCTCAGCGGCGGGAGACGGGCTGCGTTTGAAAGCGCCCCAGCCCCACGTGCGCGCACAGCTGGACCCTCCCGGCCCGAGGCTGCGGGGTGAGGGGTAGGATCGACAGGACCTCCTGAGGGTTTCTCACGGGGTCTGTTTGGGTCACGAAAAGTCTCAAGTCTCTACGAAGCAGGGACCCGAGGTCCGCACACTGTTCCCGAGCTGAGGCCCTGGCTCAGCGCTGCCCGGCGCTGCCCTCTCCGGAGATGGGCACGCAGTTGGCGGGGGCGAGGCTTTATCACCACCAGACGTTAATGTTTAACCAGCTGATGAGGCTGAAAACCAGGGCCCAGGCCGTGTGGGTGCGCAGCTCTGGGCAGACCCGCG